CGGCCCCCTCCCGCCCGCTGTGGGTGTGCCGGGACAGCCGCGGAACAGGGGCCGGAGGGGGAAGGTGGGAGGCTTTTCGGATAACGACAGCGCTAAGATTTGCTTTTTGTCACCGCTGTCCCCTTTCTTCAGGCTGTAACCTCTCCTTGGAGGAAGAGCAGGGCAGAAGGTGGCTCTGCCTTTGCCTAGCAGATGGCGAAATGAAGGGCTTCAAATAAACCGTGAAATAGATCTGTCAATAACCGAATGCCAGGCGATAGTAAAACTCAGATTGGTTTTAATGTGCATCCTTACAACCTGTTTTGTAGGTCAATTTCCTTAAACGGTGCCAAAGGAGAGAGGATGGAAGCAGAAAATCCTGCCAAGGAAGCAGTCCTCATGACTGGAGGAGGTGGTTATTTTGGCTTCCGGTTAGTGCATTAAATAGTTATTACATACCAGAATAAATGTAATAGATTGCTGCTGGTGAGGCAGCAAAAGCCATCTGTAACAGAGAAAAGAGCCTGATCGAGTTCACCCCATCTTCCTTCTACGTAGATGGCTCTACAGGCTAAAACATGTAAAAAAAAAAATCCCATTTTGAGCTCTAGACTGTCTTCTAAGAATACGTTGAGTTCTAGCTGCTTACATAGGTGAGAGAGTATAGTAACCACCAAAAAAGAAATTTTCAGTGGGGAAAATGATCTCAGAAGATACCTATCTGAATTCTGCTCATTTTCCCCTCCACTGTCTCTACCTTTAAGCACTAAGAACTGTAACAGTTCTAGGAAAGGGGAGAGGAGTACCAGATTTACACTTTGTGCCAGTAGCGATGTTTGTATCTGCAACTTGGAGTAAAACGTGGGCATGTGACAAAGTATTGAGCTTTGAAGCATCTCACCCATTCCTCCATAAACTTCAAACACAACTGCAAAGACCAACCTATGATCCTGACCAAATTGGGATGCCGCAAAAGCAGTAAGATGAAAACAATAGGATATATTTTTTAAAATATTTGGCTACAGGTTTATAGCTGAAAGGTTTGGTATTGCTGATCTGTAGGGGACAGAAGCAGAGAAATAGCTGGTTTCTTCCAAAAGGCTGCTGAGACCAGTTGAGTTACTTCTGTTCTGAGTTTTCTTTACAGCAGTTCTGCCTCTTACTTTTTTTCCCTCCAAAGCATGACACAGCCTAAGAAATTAGTTAAGTACCTAAAGTACCATAGTTGACTCATTCTCTTAGTAGATGGCTCTATTTTTAAGAGTCCCATTGGAGAAAGGGGAAAAAAAGTGAGCATTAAAATAGTAAATAGCTTTCTCTTACCTCCAGTGAAATGGTTCGTGCATCACTGCGCTATGTACACTAACATATGGTTTCTGTCATATTTTAGTTTAGGTTGTGCCATGTACCAAAAGGGAGTTGATGTGATTCTCTTTGATGTTGCCAAGCCACTTCAAACCGTGCCAGAGGGAATAAAGTTCGTGCAAGGGGATGTCTGTTGCCTGCGTGAAGTGGAAGAGGCTCTTCGAGATGTAATCTGCGTATTCCATATCGCTTCCTATGGAATGTCTGGCAGGGAGCAGCTGAACCGAAAACTTATAGAAGATGTTAATGTGAGAGGAACAGAAAATGTCATCCAAGCCTGCAAGAGCGCTGGCGTGTCAAGCCTGGTTTATACAAGTACTTACAATGTGATATTTGGAGGCCAGATTATAGAAAATGGAGACGAAACACTGCCTTATCTACCTCTTCACCTGCACCCTGATCACTACTCCCGGACCAAATCTTTAGCAGAAATGAAAGTGCTGGAGGCAAACGGTGCTGAGCTTCAAAATGGGAAAGGTATATTAAGGACCTGCGCTCTCCGCCCAGCAGGCATCTATGGGCCTGGAGAACAAAGGCATCTTCCAAGAATTGTTAGTTACATTGAAAAGGGACTGTTTAAATTTGTCTATGGTGATCCTCACAGTTTAGTAGAATTTGTACACGTAGACAACCTAGTTCAGGCTCATGTCCTTGCCTTTGAGGCCCTCAAAGCCAACAAAAAACACATAGCTGCAGGCCAAGCCTATTTTATTTCAGACGGCAGGCCCATAAATAACTTTGAATTTTTCCGACCGCTAGTGGAAGGTTTGGGTTACAGGTTCCCAACCTGTCGCCTTCCTCTCTCCCTTGTTTATTTTTTTGCATTCCTTACGGAAGTAGTTCATTTTCTTGTAGGACAGGTTTATAATTTTCAGCCTCTCCTCACTCGCACAGAAGTTTACAAAACTGGTGTCACACATTATTTTAGTATGGAGAAGGCCAGAAGAGAGCTGGGGTATGAGCCCCAACAGTACAGCCTGAATGAAGTGGTTGAGTGGTTTAGATCTCGGGGCTGTGGACCAAAGCCGAGGAAGTACACAGTTATGCAACTGATTAGGGATGGGGGACTGCTCTTGCTGCTGATTGCTGTGATGGTCTCATCCACAGTTACACTTTCACTCTGAAAGATGAAACGCTGACGATGGAGGACAGAATTTAGATGGGCACTCTTGGATTTGAGAGGTAACAACAAAAAAATTTTAAAAAACCACAAGAAGTTATGCATTGGTGTTATTCAGGTAAATATCTTCAATAGTTTTATCCCCGAGGAACAGAAATGCTGAGTAAAAAGGTGTAACTTTTATATATAGTTCCTCTTCAAAGTAAAATTGACCAGATCACTAGCAAGATGAAGTATTACTGCAATGAGCATTTTATTTTCATGTACAATGGCACACTACACTGAAAGGCACAAGTGTCCTTAGACTGACCCTTCTTCCTCCGTGATGGGATTATACTCCTGATCCCTATTCTTTATTCCTAAAAAGTTTGTCCTACATGATCCAGAGGAGAATAAACTTACTCTTTGATCACATTCCAAAAACCAAGTTCTGCTTTCCAGCTTTGATGTATATATGCCTAACCAAGATTAACTGATAAACTGCTAGGCAATAAATAAATGTGTGGCTTTTTTTAAATGAATACATGCTGGTGTGCTTTTCTGAGTTAATTCTGTGATATCTAATGACATTTCTGGAAAATGGTTAATCTGAGTTACAGCAAAGTACTCGAAGCAGCACAGATTTGTATATTTGCCTGTTTAAAATGAATGAGCTAGCTAAAGTGTATTCATAAATAAGACCTATGATTTTTCCCAGCATTACTGAATCATAGAATCATAGAATGTTCGGGGTTGGAAGGGATCTCTACAGATCATCTAGTCCAACCTCCATGCCAGATATTCCAGAGACATTTGGTAAGGTTCCATTGTTTATAAAACTTTTTTGGCCTTTAATAATATTTCTTTAATACTTGACACCATTTGAATAGAACTTCACCTTTGTAGTAGGATAGCAGACACTTGATACAATGAAAATGAATTTTATGGAGCTTTAAGAATAGAAAACAAGACCTTGTCAAGTACAGGTCACTACTGTCCCCAGCAACTCCCTCATCTCTGTCAGTTTAATATAGGAAAAGATACGGAGAAACTGCACATCAAAATGTTAAATCACAAAGTCCTTTTCCCTTAACCCGTCAGCTTTACAGTTTCAGTACTTCTTGATAAAAGCAGCCCTTCAAGAAGTTCACACTCCTCTTCAAACTTCAGCCTTTCCATTTTAACAGCTGAAACTACACTGATGTTATATTAATTTTGGTTAAGCTCCAGTTATTTCAGTCCTGTTAAGTTCCACTGTGATTTAAATGGGGAAGTGGAGACAGACAGTAGTTCTACTGCACTGCTAAAAGATTCTCAGAAACTAATAAAAACACTTCAGTAGAGAAATCAAGCTAAAAGTCCAGCACCAGCCATGTTTCGAATGGAGACTTTTGTAGTTAATGACTGAAGACAGTATTATTTTTGAAGTTCACCATTAAAATAAATAAATAAAAAACAAATCACTACTGATAACTGCATGTTTTGTTCTGCTTGAAATCTGACTTTTCTCCTCTTTCACTCCCCTACCGGTTTGTACACCATGAAACTAAATTTAATACTGAGCTTGAGGAACAGCTCAAGAGAGAACTCAACATTCGTGGATGAGGTTTTTTTCCTATAATAGCAAATAAATAGAGGGGGCCCGGGGCAGCGGTGTTTGTGTAACAGGAGTGTTACGCTCCTTTATAAAGAGCTTATGTGCCTCCAACAGACTGCTGATGGCAGAGAGGCTACTTTCCAGAATTCATTAATACACATCATCATAGCCTGCAGAAAGAAGAAACTTTCTTTTTAATAAAATGGAGAAAAAGAACAGTCGTGACCTCAGGAAAGCACTGGACCGCTGTTCAACAGGCCCTATCTTTTCAACTGAAAACCACTTGGTTATTTTCCCCTTTAAGTTCTCTGGTTTTGACACAACGCTGTCAAAAATAGATTAAGAAATTGTAATGCCAGCAGAAGCAACGGACAAAAACAAAATGTACAAGAAATTGCATGAGCCTGTTGCACAGAACCACAGCATCAGTATTTCATCCTAAGTCTTGTAATAAGATCTTTTAAAGATACAGAACCTAACTCCTGTGCCCCAGAGGATTTCTTCTGCCATTTGTGATCTTTTTATTAGCAACTCTCAGCCACTGCAATTCATCATTATCTCAGTGGTGAGGTTTGTGGAAAAGTCTATGAAAGGGTCCTGAACTCATGAAGCCTAAACCCATGTGGCTAACACAGGCTGAGGTTAAAATCCTGGGTAGAAAAAAAAAAAAAAAAAAAAAAAAAAAAAAAAACAAACCAAACCCACCACCACCAACACAAAACCCCCCAAACCACCACACACCAAATACCAGAAGTTCTGCAACAGTTGAGCTCAAAACATGAACTTTTTCATTTGTCTGGAGTCAAGGACAGAACTTTTCACTGATAACAGAGTCGCTGCTTTGTTCTAACGGCTCCTGACGTCTGCTTTGAGGGCACTAAATCAGGTACTTGTTAGGAGAAACAGGCAGCGGCTTGGCAACGGCTGCTCCAGACCCCACCGCCAGCGCACTGGTAGAGTCAGTAACTCCCTGTCATTCAGCTCCATCTAGTAAAAACAAGTTAAGTCTTCACTACCGAAGAGGTGAAGGATGTTTTTCTGATTTCCAAAATGAAAACAGGAAATCTGTTGCTTAAGGAGATATTTTAAAATTGCTTGAAAATTACGTATGCATAAAAGCCAGTCGCAGCTGCTCTATGTATTTTACAATGAGAATTCTCTCTCCTTTCTGTTTTTAAATTGCCATCACTGCTCTTTCTTGAATATCTGAGTAAATTAAAGTAATTAATTCAAGTCTCTGTTTCCAAGTATTAATCTATTACCTGTTTTCTTGAAAGTGAATGACCAGAAATGCATCTAAAAGCTGAAAAAGCAGAACTGAAAATATAGCATAGCTTCAACTTTTCCTAGTCCTCAAAATTATTTAAACTGACAGGTGCTGATGTTATAAATAAATAGTTTATATATAAATACAACTGATAGGTGCTGATGTTATAAAAAAATAGTTTATGAGTCTTTGTTCAGCTGCTTAACCTCACACATACAGTATGTCAAGGTAAAACCTTGCCAGACACACATGAACAACTTACACTCCCAGTACTCATATAAATATATTTTAGATGTTTAAATAGCAATCCTCCTTAAAATAGACCAGACACTGTCTTCTCTTAAGTGATCAAACCAGAATTTTTCTTTCCTTAGTATTTATTACTAATTTCTACATATTTTCAACAATATTGTAGCATATGTAATAACTTGTGATGTGATAAAAATAAATTTGGCTCACAACTGATTTAGAAGGTTAATTTTCAATATGTAACTTCTATTTCTAACAATATAAATGAAATTTCAGTTTGGAACAAAGTCAGCTAGTGGGACTGCACTTGGAAATGCTGGCACAAGAGTACAGCAGAGCTCAACAGCTGTACAGCTACCATGCTGCAATTGGATTTTTACTACTAGTTTGGAGGATTCAAATAACCTTTGGTACACAGTTAATGCCATCTCACCATCTAAAAGGTTAGTTTGAGACCCAAAAAACTTAAAAAAAAAAAAAAGAAGTTTGCAACATTGTGAGTGTTGCACTGGGGTGGAAAAAAACAGAATGTAGGCAACATCACACTTGAATGAAGCAATTTTTTGGACTTCGGAACCCATGCATACCAATATTCACAAATTAAAAGGTGATAAAAGCCATTTAACTCATCTAAAGACCTCCTAGAAGATCTAGGCTGCAAATACCTCACATTGATTCCTGCTCAATATGTATGTAATTTTTATCAAAAGACTGAGACTCCAAATAATAATAAAAAAAAAAAAAATCACAACACACCGTGCGCATTCACCCAACAGCACTGCTGCCCGTGCAATAACGCTGACATAATTTTACGGAGAACATCAAGATGACTGTGCTTCGAAATTACTACAAACTCACCTTTGCTTTGTTCAAACTTGGTTGTCTGAGTTGATCCAAATCTGATGCTGATTAAGGCTGAAATTTATATCTCCCTATCACTGCAAAAGGTTAGGAGTTGCAAGTTCAACATGATCTTTGACTTTTACCTTCTGCCCTGCTCGTTTGCAGCCCGATGAAGTGCAGCAATAACCATGTGTATCGAAATAATCGGTCAGTTTATCTTAAAAACATAGAAATGTCCTTCCTTGAACTTCTAGAGAACACACCATAACACACCACAGACGACTTTCCAGTAAGAATTCACTCATACTGCCTCAAACGACAGGCAAAATTCATGAAATTCAACGAGCAATGCTTAAACAAAGAAGCATCTGGCATCATTCACATCACTGCTGAGATATCAAAAATTATTTATTAAAAATAAGTTATTTTAAGGATTTAAAACCGTTTCTGTAAGAATACAACACATAAACAGATATTGTCATCTTCAAAAAATGTATGGTTTTCCTCCTAGATTATAAAATTAGCACACACATTCAAACCTACTTCCATATTAAAACAGCTGCAACCGTGATAAAGTTGCTACAGAGTCTGTCCTGACAAAGAATCGAGAGGTGAGGTTCTGGAGTTAAAACACAAAATGCAAGAAACAAGAGTTAGTGCACAGCCTTGCCCGTCACTTGCAAGTCAGCAAAACAGACAATGCAGTATTTCCCTTCTGAATACAGCACAACATTACACTGTGGTAAAAATCTTACTGTGAAATGAAATGCATTTTCATAAATACCAAGGGAGTGCCTCGTAACTTTTGGCATCACGTATGCGTGGAGAATGTGCACAGGACTCTTCAAAGGACTATAAAATGTGCTAATTTTCAAATATTTGCAGAGCAGCAGCACAAGAAACTCTTGTGTTCATCCCACAATAGCTGTCATGTGTCAGCAATATATCTACCAACGAAAGAAGCCAGGACAAAACGACAATTGGGTTATGTCTGTTCTGGAACTGAACTTAGAAAAAAAAATCTTTCCCACAAAAAACACACCACAGCAACAGCCTCAAGCTCTAGGGTTTGATCTCCCTAAGCCCTAGCATGTTGTAGTCTCCTGTTTCTTGTGATCAGCGCAACCCAGCTGGTCCTCA